AAAGATAATTTCCAAATCATGAGTGGAAGAAAAGAGAAATTTCCTATCAAATTTAGAACCATGGATGAAGAAAGTATTAAGGAAATTTTCTCTTTACCTATGTAGCTCATTAAAAAATATTTTTTTTTCTGGACCATTAATTGAATAGATGTGGTATTACATTTATTTAATTCACGTGATGAACAAAAGGAACAGGGCCAGTCTGATTTAACTTTGAGAATTTATGAGAAAAAAGGATTTACTCTGCAGATCAAGTGGGTGATGCAAATACTCTGTAAGCTCCTGCGTCCTGTTAGGACCTCCCTCTTCGTAAACGCCTGCTCTATCTTTTTTCAGTCATCGAGGTGCACCTATGCGTGTGCACCACTAGATGGAGCCTTCAAAGCAGTTTATTTGCTAGCGCTTCCTCTCCCTTTCCCCCTTTGGAAAGTGGAGGTCTGGGCTGTGAGTGTTTGGGGAAGCGAAGCAAACACTGTGAAGAGGAGGTGCACAGGCCTTGAGGGGTTGTAGAGTACTGTTCTAGTCCTTGTCCTAGTGAAAGCTGGTCTGTCCTCAGCCCTATCCTGATTAACATTGTTTTCAGTGTCTTTCATGAAGACAGAAAAGACATGCTTAGCAGGTGTGTGATGACACAAGGCCAAGGATGATCACTGGTGCATTTGGATGATATTGTAAAGGTTCTAAAGCTTTCAATGGGCTGAAATCTACAAGAGAAAGTGAACAGGAATAAATGCACAAGTTTACCTTTGATGGAGTAGTAAAGAGAGCTTTGGACAGTGAGAGAAGAGATCTGAATATGTGTCCCAGATAATACTAACAATAATCATGATAACTGTGATGATTATAACAATGTAATCTAACACAGCGCTACTCCCAGTGCGGTCCATGGACCACCAGTTGGCAACTGTTGCCCCTCCTCGACAACATATGCACATTGCTTAGTAGAGCCAAACAAGCAAAACATTCCCAGTTAAGGAAGCAGGGCATCAACCTACATTCCAGCATGAATCCTTCATCTTGTGGAGAGCTGCCTTTTGAGTGGCACTGAATTTTAAAGGCTCCTTGGTGTGGGTACTTAGTACCAATTGTGATACGTACTTCAAATGAATCATCACATTTGTATGGAGGCATAGTATACTTAAAGCCAGTGTAGTGTAATGTGTAAGTACATACACCTGGACCAAACTGCCTCAATTTCTTCATCTGATGGATGATAACAATAACATCTAACATAATGGTTGTTGTGGTGAAGGTCAGAAGCATAATGCAGGTAAAGTTCACGTTATGCTTCCTGGCACACATTATGTGCTCAGTACATGGAAATGAGTATTAATGCACTTCTCCCTAATACCTCTTTGAGGACAGTACTGTTGTTATCCCTATTTTATAGATGAGAAACTGAGCTGAGTTTCAGTGATGCTTAATAGTGTCCTATGGTCATGCAATTCCTAAGTACCAGGGCCAAGACCTGAAACCAGGGATTTTCAAACAAATGCTTATCCATTCTAGCACACTGTGGTTCCTGGGTGGACTAGACCAATGGCTTTTAAATTTTTTGACCATAACTCAATTATGGTCAGAATCTAGTACACACATGTACACACATGTATATAAATCTGAAACAAAAGTTACAGGAAATAATCCTTGCCCGTCATAAATATGATGCACTCTGATATTTCTACTCTATTTTACTTCTTTTTTTTGGTGAGGAAGATTGGCCCTGAGCTAACATCTGTGCCAATCTTCCTCTATTTTTTATGTGTTGCCACCATAGCACGGCTTGATGAGCGGGGCATAGGTCCACACCTGGGATCCGAACCCGCAAAGCCCGGACCGCTGAAGCAGAGTGTGCGAACTGAACCACTCCACCACCGGGCTGGTGCCTATTTCATTTTTCAGGAAGAAAACTTGTGGTGACCTATTCGGTTGATTTCATGGCCCACGAATGGGCTGTAACCCACAACTTGGAAACACTGTACAAGCAATTTCTGTGGATTCTTCAGTTCTAATGATTTTCCTAGGGAAAAAAACACAAACAAAAGCCTTCAAACCCAAATCCCTTAGTCCAGGGCAGAAGATCTGGACTTGGGAGCAGTTCATGTGAAAAAGGAGTAAGGATTTTAGCCTAGGTCAATATGTGGAAAAACTACAATGTGGGGGCAAAAGGATCGCCTTAAAGCTCCCTCTGGACTCCTGTATTCCCTCTTGGGTGCCATATTTTAAGGGAAATCAACAATCTGAAACATATTCACAGACGGACAGTCAAGGTGGGGAAGAGACTGAAATCATTTAAGGAGCTAGAAACGTTTAATCTGATTTTGAAGGAGAGAGTCACGAAACTTTTTTTTTTAAGTAAGTATATTATGATAATAGATGTCTAAGGTGGTAGAACTATCCTTCAGAATTATCCTTCAGGACTGAATAGGTCTTGGCCCATCTGATGTATTCTCTCACATAAAGTTTATTTCTACTGGGTTTTTAGATTTTGGTGTCTAAAGTGAGAATCATGTAAAATGATTGTTACTTTATACCCTCCTGTGAGAGGCCATGAAAGGCAGGCAGGAAACCGCCCCTCCCAGGGTGAGCGGAGGAGCTCTCAAGCTTGGCATTGGCAAGACTTTTGCCCGGCTTCAAAGGGGTTTGAAAGGGTGGTGACAAACTCCAGCCCAGGCTGTGCCTTGGAACACAGACATTCCTTTGCCTAGAGCCTGGGCCGGCCTTGTGGGAAAGCCCCCGGTTCCTGATCCTCTGAACTGGTAGGAAGCACTTGCCCAGTTGTTTCCCTCCCTCCCGATTCTCCTTGTGAGTCAGGAAGGAGGGAGTGAAAGGCTGAGCAGTCCCTCCCCAGGTTTCCACTGGGGCTGCAAGGAACGCCTGCAGCTGGAATTCCCCTGGAAGGTGGTTACAGCAACAGAGGTCTGCACTATTGTTGCTGGGGTAGGACATTATATTGGGACGAGTAGCAGCAGATTTGTTGGTAGTTTATTAAATTCAGGAAGGAAAGGGGACAGAGGAGTCAAGAATGACTCAAAGGTTATGTGGTTGGGAAGTCTTGGAGCAAAACAGGGCCCCCAAAACAAGTGGAAAAGCTGAAGTGCTATAAACATGGGGAGAAAGGATGGATACTTTTGATGGTACTGTGTTTGTGGCTTAGAGTCAGAGCTGTGTTCATCAAAGTTTGAAGCTGGAGTGGTTAAAATATGTTGATCTTGCTCCTCAACTGTGTACTGTCCAACGTTAAATCCACATACTTGGTCCTGTTTGAGAGTGAACTGGCTGTTAAGGATGTTGAAACTGCACTGTAGTGCTGGGAGAACATATGCATCTACTCATGTCTGTTGCTATCTCAGATTGGGTTTAATGTTTAGAATATAATTAACACATTCACTTTTGGTGGTTCTTTCAGTAGACTTAGTAAACAGGTTGATGAGGTGCTTTCCGGAAATGACTGTGTCTACACTTTATTTCTATCTCTGAGATGGGTGGAGTCCAACGGCAGCTCAGTTATTCCAGATTTCTGGTTGTTTGAGGCGATATGAGGGAGGGGCTGTTGAAGTGGAGGAAGTTTTGTGCATGTGTGCCTGGAGGATGGAGAGGGGAGAGATGAGCTGATGAATGTGATGATGATAAAAGCAGCACTTAACATTTGTTGGGTGCTCACTATGTGCTGAGCAGTATTCTAAGCACTATATATAATTATCCAATTTGATCTTCAACAACCCAATTAAATAATTACTATTAATCCCCTCCTTTCATAATTAAGGAAACTAAAGCATAGAAAGTCTAGTGGATTTGCCCAAGGCTGCAGAGCAGGGATGGTCTGACCACTGAGCCGCACCATGAACACTTCCTAGTGAGGCACTGTCCTTGCCTGGCTTCATAAACGGGCACAGGCAGCCAGGAGTCTAAGCATTATAGTCAGAAGCTGAAGAAACTGCTTTCTAGGAGACAGTGTTGCTTCGAGTGCCCAGGTGATAATGTGTGATCCAACACTGGGGACAGAGACATTCTCCTCTCATTCTAAGTAGCAGGCTTTGGCTGGCTTTCCACAGGGCAGGCCATAGCCCTTTGAGAAGCTCCACATTCACGGAGCACCACCAGCAAGTCTGCAGTTGAGAGGAGCCTCTCGCAAGAGCTCACACGCAGGGGATTTCCATGAGTGAGCTGGATGGACTGATTCAGCCTATGTGGCCTCACCCTGGACCCACCTCAGGAAGCCCAAGGGGGCTGAGGAGGAGTGCACTTAGAAACTTGCCCAGGACTAAGGTTCTGCAGCAACTCTAGTGAGGCCTCTCAAGCTAGTGAAGTTCAGGAAAATGCAACTTAATAGTACGCACAGGCAGGTGAGGCCTGGAGATATGCTGAAGAAATGAAGACTATCCATTCTAAAAATAAATCATTATTCAATTTTACTCTATGATTATAAGTTCCCAAAACCTGTTCAAAAGAACAAATGATGAGACATTTTCTATCAGGAAAATAAGCTCATCTTAGATGTCAAGTGTTCTTGGAGGGGCAGGGACTCTTTATAGTCCATTTCCCTACCATATTTGTATCCCCAGAGCGTAATATGCCATGGTCAATGGCACATAATGGATGCTCATTAAATGTCTGTCAACCTGAACATTCCACAGATGAGTGGAACGTGAAATGTGGGTTTTTTAGGGGATAAATGTAGGGTTCTTCTCTGAAGCTTCTTAGATGCTACATGAGGAAATACAAATAGGAAACATCTGGACAGTAACATAACAAGCAGTTATTATATAAAGATGAATAATTCTGTCCCTGTAAAAAATCAGCAAAGAGACATGAGGAGACACAAAACTCAAAGCCATGAGAAGGGGAAAAGAAGGCAACAGCACATTCAGATTCTGCAGAGAAATGTCTTTGAGAGATAATGCAGGTTTTAAAGTTTGCACCAAAAATTCCAATCCCTAAGTTCTCACTACTCTAACACATCAGCTAAATTTCATCATGTTTTGTTCTTGGACAGATGCTCAATGAGTGTTGGCATGGAACCTCTGGCTGCAAAGTCCTGCTCACCCTCTGAGCCACTCCTGAAAGCTGGGCTTCCCCCTGAAGCCAGAGAGCATCTTCAGAAGGTTAGTGCTGGTTGGAAGGAGCCCCCTCCTGTCTGAGGGCCCCTGTGTGGCTGCCAGAGGGGAGACGGCTGGGGCTCCTCACTCTGCTCACTTCCCATCCCCGGCAGCAGTCCATGGCCCCATTTGAGGGAGTGGAGATGGGCAGCCATTGATTTAACTAACTGGAAAAGATTCTGTCCTTGAGCTCAGGTTAAATTAGTCCAAAAGTGACCCAAGGGAGCTTTTTTTTTTAATAGTAGTAAAATATACATAGCATAAAATTTACCATCTTAACCATTTTTAAGTACACAGTGCAGTAGTGTTAAGTCCATTCGCATTGTTGTGCCACCATCACCACCACCCAGCCCCAGAACTACCTTCATCTTGCTGAACTGAAACTCTGTCCAAGGGAGCCTTTGGTACCACTCTCTTAAATTTTTTTTTTAAACAAACTGCTTTCTTGTTGCTTACAAAATTCTAGTGAGATAGGAAGGTAGCAATATGAAATGTACTGGTTTTCATAGATGTGGTTGTCATCTTTGGAACAAACGTATTTTTTTAAGATCCATTTTAAGCCTGCACACTTACAGATGAAGCATGACTTCTAAAAAGTCTTAAGGTTGCCTTTTTTAAGAGCCATTCAAAATCAACCACAGTGTAATGGAGTGTACTGGGAGTGTAAATGCGACTTTTCCTGTGACAAGAACTATGGTATAATAAAGAATTTGTCTGGTCTTTGTCATTTCTGATCTACAGGGATGTCTTTGTTACACTAATAAGGTGACTCATGGTGGGCTACCAGAAAGCTTCAGGATGGGGGCTGGTCACCAGAGAGACCAACCATGTGATTAGAGGGCTGAGACTTTCAGCTGCCGGACCTCCAGGGAGGGGAGAAGGGCTGGAGATTGGGTTCAATCACATCACCAGTAATTTAATCAATCATGCCTACATAATGCAACTCCAATAAATATTCTGGACACAAAGCTCTTGGAGCTTTCTGGTTGGTGAACATCGATGTGCAGGGAGGATGATGTGCTCTAACCTCATAGGAAGAGGGCAGGGAAGCTCTGCCCTCCCTCTCAGACCTTGTCCTATGTGTCCCTTCATTCTGCTGGTCCTCCTGATTTCTATCCTTTTATAATAAAACTGCAGTTGTAACTATAGAGCTTCCCTGAGTTCTGTGAGTTGTTCTAGCAAAGTACTGACCCTGAGCAGATCTTGGGAACCCCTGAGTTTATTGCCAGTTGGTCAGAAGTGCGGGCGGCCTAGGAACCGCTGAAGTGCAGCTGGCTTCTGAAGTGAGGGCAGTCCTGTTGGGGACTGTTCCCTCTAACTGGTGGGGTCTGTGCTAACCCCAGGTGGTGAGAGCCAGAACTGAATCACAATAGAGTACAGAAGAAGAACGCTGCTGGAGAAAGGCAAGAACAGCTTTCAAGCCTAACTGTGCCTACTGGGAGAAAATGCTCCGTGGATCTCTTGCATTGCTACATATCTTGCCATTGAGGCCTTGACTGCCTTTTGTTCTGACTCCTTTCAAGGAGGTTTGTATAGTGAACAGCCTAGGAGCACAGACATGTGTCTCCCTCCAGAGTAAAAGGCAGGCATGTTTACTGTCCACTATAAAAGACTTGGATTCCCAAACTCAGGGTTCCTTTTCTGTAACACAATGTACTGCATGCGCAGGCATCATCTGGCTCTCTTTGCACCCTCAGTGTTTGGGGCCCAGGGAACTGGCACAAAAACGTTAATGCTCTGGGTACTGCCCTTGCTGTGAGTGATAAGCTATTCTTCATCTCTGAGCGGGAGTGTCATAAATTCTACCAGCATCTGTGAAACCGAGGCCAGCTAACTTGCATTTTCTGTTATTTCCCATTTAGGAAAAGCTCAGACCCTTCACAGTTCTGGACAGTGCCACTAGTTAGTTTCATGACCTTGAAAAAGTGAACAAATTGACATTTTTGGACCTGGTTCTAACACTTGTAACATGATAGATTTTTTTCTACATGTTCTCTAAGACTCAAAGATTCACTTTAGTTTACCATTTCCTTTAGTTTGCAGTGGTTAATACATCCCTGGTATCATGTTTTCCTTTCTGTGTGCAACTGAAGGAACTTGGTAGAAGAAGGAGAATAAGCCAGGGAGGAAGTGGGAAAGAGAGAGGTGAAATGAGAAAACGGAAGAATGGAGGGAAACTGAGAAAATTCACACGCTTTATATACGGGTTTGAGAAGATTTCCAGAGCAATAAGCTGTGTATGTGTCTAGTGTTTGGCATTTTGCTTCTAGGGTATTTCCCCTGAGGCAGGGGAAGAATCCTACAGACAAAATTTATCTTTAGCAGTAGACAAAGCAAATAGTTAAATGCTAGATTAACTTTTTAAAATTTTTCAAATTATGTAATTATTTTGACTAACCAAATCTACATAGTAAATTAGTAAATTGTTTCCCTTTTTAAATTAAGCTTGCGGTCCCACCATCCATCTGCTCGGCCAAGGTGGAAGGCGGGAGGAGGTTTCGCTAGAGTCACTCCTCCTCCACTCAGCAGACCTGTTCTGTTGATTCTACCTCCACAACCTCTCTCAGTTTAGGCCCCTGTCTCCATTCTCATTGCCCTCCTTAGTTCAAGCCTTTGTTACTTCTTATCCAGAGCTTAGCAAAATGCTTTATATGTGGTAGGTGTATTAGTCTGGGTTTTCCAGAGAAACAGAATCCATAGTGAAGAGATTTACTAGAAGGAATTGGCTCACACTAAGATCTGCAGTTGGCAAGCTGGAGACCCAGGAGAGCCAATGGTATAGTTCCTATCTGAGTCCATCTCTGAAGGCAGGAGAAGACCAATGTCCCAGGTTGAAGACAGTCAGGCAGAAAGAGTGAACTCTACCTTTCTCAGCTTTTTTGTTCTATTCAGGCCTTCAACTGATTGGATGAGGCCCACTCACATGGGAGAGGGTCATCTGCTTTACTCAGTCTACCCATGCAAATGTTAATCTTTTCCAGAAACACCCTCACGGACAACCCAGAATAATGTTTAACCAAACATCTGGGCACTCCGTGGCCCAGTCAAGTTGACGTATAAAATCAACCACCACTGCAGACAACTGTATTAGTTTCTATTGCTTCTGTAACAAATTACCACAAATTTAGTGACTCAGAACAACACAGATTTATCTTACAGTTCTGGAGGTCAGTCGTCCAGATGGGTCTCAGTGGGCTTAAATCAAGGTGTCCCAGGACTGTATTCCTTCTGGAGGCTCTAGGGGAGAATCGGTTCCTTGCCTGTTCTAGCTGTTAGGGGCTGCCCGCATTCCTTGGATTGTGGCCCCTTCCTCCATCTTCAAGGCATAGCATCTTCCAATCTCTCTCTGACTCTGACCCTCCTGCTTCCCTCTTATAAGAATCCTTGTGCTTACACTGGACCCACCTAGAAGACCCAGGATAATCTTCTATCTTAAAACTCTTGACTTAATCACATTTGCAAAGTCCCCTTTTCTATGTAACATAACATATTCACAGGTCCCAGGTATTGGGACATGGACATCTTTGGGGGGCCATTCTTCTGCCTCCTAATCAACAAATACTGCAATAAATACTACAATAAATAAATAATGTTGAGTTAACAAACTATTAGTTTAGTCACTTGACGGGTTTCTTTAAATCCAGTTTCATTGCCTTAAAGCTCAACCACGTTATCAGAGTGGTAATTATAAAATAAATACCATGTCACTCCTCTGTTTAAAATTCTACAGTGACTTCTCACAGGCTGTAGTATAAATCCAAACTCCCACCATGGGGTGGTCCCTGCCCGCCTTTCTAGCAGCCTCTTCCACTACCTCACTATATATTTTAGGTTAAATGATATGAAATTACAAAAATTAACCATTTTTGATTTACAAAGATAACAATTTATACAGTTCAGCCTAGTGTCACCATTAACCACATTGATATACTGTACTTAGTTGTCTCCATGCACCAAGATTTCTCCCTCTTCCATGTTTCCACACATGATATTCTCCCTCCCTTATATAAATATATCCCAAGCAAATTTTGCACAAATTGTAAAGTACTTAATGTGACAAGATTGTGCGTATTTTTTATTTGAGCTTCAGCACAAAATACAGTCTGAGCATTGCTTTATTTCTGCTGACTATATCCCTCTAAATATCATAATTTCGCATCCTATGATTACCGCTAGACCCTTCCCTCCGGTGAAGACTGAGGCTAGGCTGGCACGTAGTAACCATGCACAGAGCAGGATGAAGCTGACAATCTTCAAGCATCTGTAAATCGTTTTGGGGGCTCATTGAATTTGTAATCCTTACGATGTTTGTACCCATCAGGCCCTCAAAAAAACGTTTGCTGAGTGAAGGAATGAAAATAATTCCCTTTCCCACGTTGTTTACTTAGACCTTGAACTTTGTTATGACCATGTGGATATAGCAGCTGCCTCTCGGTGGATTAAATAGTCAAGAGGCCGAGTTTGAGATCAGACTCTGCTACTAAAGAGGCATTTGATCTCAGGAGAATGCGCTCCCTCTGTGGGCCCGAGGTCCGCACCCATGAGACCAAGTCCCCTTTCGCTCTGACCCTCTGTCCCTCTCTGTTCTTCAGTTGGCCAGCTCCTTGGTGATGTTGCCACTGCCTGGAGCTGTGCCTGGCTGTCGTGTGACTGGACTCTGAGGAGGGTGGAGGGAGTGACACATTCTTGGTATCTGTGTGGTTTCTTTGCTTGATGGGGTTGAAGTAAACACTGGAATGCTTTCTGTTTTTATTTGTTGTGACACGCCGTTCGGAATCTGACTTCATTGTTTGGTGATGTTGCTATTTTTTAGAGTAAGAAGTTATGCTTTGTATAAGAGCACACTGAAGCATTTTACCGGAAACTTTTTCAAATAGTCACTAAACCACTAACCCTGATTCAGTGAAGATGTAGTAGGCATACCCTCCTTGTGACTGATACCTTGCAGGGAGCTTTCAATTATATTATTTAAGAATGAGAGAAAAATTCTGCAGGGAGGGATTATT